CCTAGAAAATTTAAAATTAATATGTGATTTTCATTTTATTTCCATCGGATAGCACTGATCTAGAGTGGAATCACTATCTTACCTCCCATTTACTTATTACCCTACCATCTGGCTTTTTTACTCTCAACCAAACTGCTTTTGCTGAAGTCCCCAAAAAGCTCCAAGGGACACATTTTAATCTCTATGGCATGTGACATTACTGACTTATTAGTAAACATACTCATGACATAGAAACATATAAAGTACAAATACCCAAAAACCACTGCTGTTGAGTCAATTCCAACTTATAAGCGACCCTACAGGACAGGACAGAACTGCCCCATAGGGTTTCCAAGGCTGTGAATCTTTACGGAAGCAGACTACCATGTCTTTCTCCCGCGGAGCAGCTGGTGGGTTCAAACTGCCAACCTTTCAGTTAGCAGCCGAGCGCTTTAACCAGTGCACCACCAGGGCTCCTGAAAGTAGAAATGAGAAAATAAAAATCATCCATCATCCCACCACTTAGTGATAAGCACTACTAACTGTCTTTCTAGTCTTTTCCTTTTACTTGTATATACACATTTAAAAGCTTAACATATTAGTTTCAACTATTCTTAAGCAACCCAAAAGATCTATTAATGGATATACAATTTTTTAGCAACAAGTACATTTCATACTCTCCATATATACTATTTTCTAGCCTACATTAACACTATATTGTGAACATCATCTTATGCCTTTAGTATTCTTCCATCATATTATTCTACAATGTACCATACTTGATACCAAATTCCTATTAATCATTTATTTTTAACATTACACTGTTATAAATAACACAGCAATAACACTATATTATGAGTAACTGAAAACATCATGAGTATGTTCTCTAGGTATCAATTCCTAGAAGTTGAAATATTAGGTCAGAGTAAAGCAAACTTTTTTTTAATTGTGCTTTAAGTGAAAGTTTACAATTCAACTTAGTTTCTCATACAAACATTTACATACACGTGGTTATATAATCCTAGTGGCTCGCCCCATACTGTGACAGCATACTTCTCCCTTCCACCTCAGATTTCCATGTCCATTCAACCAACTCCTGACCCTCTCTGCCTTCTCATCTCACCTCCGGACAGGAGCTGCCCATTTAGTCTCATGTATCTACTTTGGCTAAGAAGCACACTCTCCACGAGTATCATTTTATGTCCCATAATCCAGTCTAATCTTTGAAAAGTTGGCCTCAGGAATGGTTTTAGTTTTTGGCTAACAGAGAGTCCAGGGGCCATATCTTCCAGGGTCCCTCCAGTCTCAGTCAAACCATGAAGTCTGGTCTTTTTACCAGAATTTGAGTTCTGCACCCCACTTTTCTCCTGCTCCATCAGGGACTCTGTTGTGTACCCTGTCAGGGTAGTCACTGGTGGTAGCCAGGCACCATCCACTTCTTCCAGTCTCAGGCTGATGAAGTCTCTGGCTTAGGTGACCCTTTCTGTCTCTTGGGCTAATATTTTCCTTGTGTCTTTGGTGTTTGTCATTTTCCTTTGCTCCAGGTGAGCTGGGACCAATTGATGCGTATTAGATGGCCGCTCACTACCTTTTAAGACCCTAGACGCCACTCACCAAAGTGGGACGCAGAACATTTTAATAAACATTGTTATGCCAGTTGACCTACATGTCCCCTGAAACCATGGTCCCCAGACTCTTGCCCCTGCTACTCCGTCCCTCAAAGTATTTGGTTGTATTAAGGAAACCTTTTTAGCTTTGGTTTAGTCCACTATAATCCTGGCCTTGTTCATCCTCCAGTGAGTATCAGCTGTACCACCACATAGACACTTTCCCAACAAGCTCCCCCAGCAAGGCACTTAAGTGAACTTCTCCACCATTCAACAGGTCATGGACTTGTTCTCTCCAAAAAGGTCTGAAACTCAGTGGGGTGGGGAATTCTTCCCGATGTGTTTCTGCTTTGGTGTGCTCTGCCTCAGTCCAAAAGGTACTGATTGTTCCCTATGTCAACTATTCCTGTATTCTTTAGAGCTCTCTTCATCTCTTACTGGAGCCCTGATGCCACACTGGTTAAGTGTTTGGCTGCTAACCAAAAAGTCATTTGTTCGAATCCACCAGCTGCTCTGCAGGAGAAACATGTGGCAGTCTGCTTCCATAAAGACTGTGTTGGTACTGTTAGGTGCTGTCAGGTTGGTTCTAACTCACAGCGACCCAGTCCTGCTCCATCCTCACAATCGCTGCTATGTTTGAGCCCAATGTTGCAGCTAGTGTGTCAATCCAACTCGTTGAGGATCTTTCTCCTTCTCACTGACCCTCTACTTTACCAAGCATGATGTCCTTCTCCAGGGACTGGTTCTTCCTGATAATATGTCCAAAGTGAGACGAAGTCTTGCAAACCTTAAAAATCCTACAGGGCAGTTCTACTCTGTCCTATAGGGTCGCTATGAGTGAGAATCGACTCACTGGCAATATGTTTATTTGGGTTTTATCCCTTAACAGGTGATCACCTGAGTTAATAATTCTTTGTTAAATTTCCTGTTTAAATTACAGTGCGGTTTGTCTCCTGAATGGACTCTGACTAATGCACTGTCCTATAGACATCATATAACTGGAGTTTTCTTCCACATAATCTCTATTTATTTGGAAAAATGTATTATGTTTCACACATCTTCAATTACATTTTTCCTATATTTATATGAGTTTCCTATTAATTTTACTGATGTATCATTAAGAATTAAAATGTTAAAAAAAACAGAACTAAAATATATACAAAGTTAATAAAACCATTCCCGAGGCCAACTCTTTAGACAAAGATTAGACTATGGGACATAACATGATACTTGTGAAGAGTGTGCTTCTTAGCTGAAGTAGATACATGAGACTAATGTGCAGCTCCTGTCCAGAGGTGAGATGAGAAGGTGGAGAGGGTCAGGAGCTGGTTGAATGTACATGGGAACCCCGGGGTGGAAAGGAGAGTGTGCTGTCAGAGTATAGGGAGAACAACTAGGGTCACATAACAATATATACATAAAGTTTTATATGAAAGATTAACTTGAATTGTAAACTTCCACTTAAAGCACAACAATAAAACAAAGAAAAATTAAGATTTAGCAGAAAAAAAAATATGCAAAGTAAAAAAAAAAAAGAGACAGGAAGGTTTGATAATGTGATCCCTTTTTGTGGAAGTGTAGAATGTTTATTCCATGTACATGTATGGGGTAGGGTTACAAGGGAATGTTTCACCTGCTATGTTGCATTTTCTATATAATTTTTAATTGTCTTACAATAATATGTATTACTTTTATAATCAGAAAAAAAGAAATATATATAAATTTTTTTTTTATTGTGCTTCAGGTAAAAGTTTACCACTAAATTAATTTCTCATACAAAAGTTTATACACATATTGTTATGTGAGATGAGATGCAATCCCTGTAATGTGACAGCACACTCCCTCTTTCCACCCTGGGTTTTCCGTGTCCATTCAACCAGTTTCTGTCCCTTCCTGCCTTCTCATCCTGCCTCCGAACAGGAGACGTCCATTTGGTCTCGTGTATCTGCTTGAACTAAGAAGAACGCTCTTCACAAGTATTATGTTTTATAGTCCAGTCTAATCTTTGTCTGAACAGTGGGCTTTGGGAACAGTTTTAGTTCTGGGTTAACAGAGCCTCCAGGGGCCATGGCTTCAGGGGTTCCTCCAGTCTCAGTCAGACCATTAAGTATGGTCTTTTTATGTGAATTTGAGTTCTGCATCCCACTTTTCTCCTGCTCCACCAGGGACTCTCTATTGTGTTTCCTGTCAGGGCAGTCACTGTTGGTAGCCGGGCACCATCTAGTTCTTCTGGTTTCAGGCTGATGGGAGTTGGCTGATGTGGCCCTTTTGTCGTCCGGACTAATATTTTCCTTGTGTCTTTGGTGTTCTTCATTCTCCTTTGCTCCAGGTGGGTTGGAACCAATTGATGCATCTTAGATGGCTGCTCGCAAGCTTTTAAGACCCCAGACACCACTCACCAAAGTGGGATGCAGAACATTTTCTTATGTTTTCTTGTTATGCCAATTGACCTCAATGTCCCCTGAAACCATGGTCCCCAGCCCCCAACCCCAGCTACTCTGTCCCTCAAAGTGTTTGGTTGTGTTCAGGAAACTTCTTAGCTTTTGCTCTGGTCCAGTTGTACTGACTTTCCCTGTAGTGTGTATTATCCTTCTTTTCACCTATGATGATACAAATAGATAAAAATTTTAAAATTTTTTACATCAAATTTATTGTTGCCCTATGTGTGATTTCCTTCTAGAATGGCAGCCAAAATGAAGAGTCACCATGCTGAGGGAACACGTATATTCAAATTAACTCAAATCTAAAACCACTTGCTATTTTATTTGTATTAAATAACAGCTACCATTTGCTGTGCTAGGCACTGTACCGAGCACTTTAGTCTGCACGAGAACCTGATGAGGTTCTCAAACCTGCACCTCAATTTTGCTGGTGAGCAAAGTAAGGCAATATGACTATGCAGAGGTCACAGAACGGGGCAGAGCCATGATCTAAGTGCAG